CCAATTGTTGCCCATTATTTCCCCTTCCTCTACGGAGATTTCAGCCTTACTAGATGCTTCAAGACTAATATTCATTATCTCAAGTATCATTCTGGTTATATATTTAAAAAAATTTTCATTTCAGTTATAAAATAACAAAATATTGAGGTTAAATAGTGTGAATGCAAAAAGGAGGAGAATGCTTTGTTTCATGTGTTAGGCACAGTTCAGGGAGAGTATTGTCAATAATGCCAGCTAAAGGATATTTAAATTTGGCAAATCAGAAACTTCTGTAAAGTTGATGTCACTGTCCAGCACTTTTAGATTTTGGATTTATATATTGTTTCTTCCTTTTGTTTTGCAATTATTTTCTCGCTTTATTTTGTCATGATTCTTTCTCAGAAATTTAGTTTTATGGTTGGTTCTGTTTGTTGTCTAGAAGTGATGGTTTTGGCCATACTTTGAACAAATGTTTTGTTTTGCCAGATCTCACTGAAGTTATATGAGCCATTCATTAAAGATGTTTCTCTTTTCAAGGGGTGCACTTCAGAGTTCATTAAGAAGATAGTAAGCCATTTCATTTTAATTCTGAAAGTAGCTTTTGGATTAGAAAGACTAAGCAATACTATTTGCATTTCCCTTTTTTCTAAGTTCCATAGATATCTTTGTTTTGTGCTTTATCACTTTTTAATTATTCTTGCTGAATCTGCAAGTCTTTACCCTTTTAGTTAAGGACCCCTTTTTTCTCTTTTGATCAGCAAGTTAAGGATCCCCTTTTGTGTCTGACATCCTCAATTCTGAGTAATTGCAACTTTTACTGTCACAAGTATTGTTGAACATTAATTTTTTCAATGAAGCCATTGCTGCATGGGAGAGAATTTCCTTTTTCTCTTTATGGATGCCTTTTTATTTCATTATATTTAGTCTTTATTTCAAACTTGCAAGACGTGGGTTTTCCTAAATGATTAACTGCTTACAAAAAATCTTTTGCATGATATTCTAAAAATTTGAAGTTTTCTTCGCAGTTGTTTTTATTTCAGTATGTGATGCCATGCATAAAAAGCAGTTGCAATAAAAGCTTTGAGATGCATGAGAAGCAAGTGATGCTATTGGATTGTCATTAGAAATATACATTGTTCAAAATGATTTCAGTTTATATGATTTGTTTGTGTGGGTGGCATGGTGTTGAACTGCTAGTGAAGTATAGAAGGAAAGGATTGAAGAAAAAAGATTAGAGGGGAGGAGAAAGAAAACAAGAATTAGCAATTTATGAGAATTTCTTGATCTATTTGCTAGATAGCCCAAAATTATTCCAAGAGACATAATCCATGGTATTTCTAATCTTCATAAAAACCTAATCCTTTATTAATTAGAAAACAACAAATTAAATAATATAATAAAGCATTCCTAATCCTACAAATATAACGCCAAATAGAATATAATTAATTACTGAATTTCATTTCTTTCTAGTCTTTTCTTTCTTTTAAAAATGTTTTATATATTTTTTTGTTACTTTTTTAATAGTTGAATTTCCCTTGATTTCTCAAGCGTGCACATTAAACCAGAATTGAAGCTTACAAGTAGGAAAGAAGCTTACAAGTAGGAAAGAAGCTTAATTATTAATTGTTTTTGTTATTCAGGCAACTAGAGTTCATGAAGAGTTTTTCCTTCCAGGAGAAGTGATTATAGAAGAGGGAAAAGTAGTTGATCAACTGTATATTGTTTGTCATGGTGAACTGGTAAGGATTCCTCAATGTTATGTCCTCTTCCCTTAATGTAGGGGAGGAATTGTGTGTACTATTTAATATATTTTGCATAAGTAAAATGGTAAAAATATCTTACAATCAATTTCAGTTATGTTGTTCTTCATGTCGATATTTTAGTGAAGAACAACTTTGAAATAAAGTTCTACAATAATTCATTAACTAATTTTAACTGAATTTTTAAAATTTGCTGTCATATGATGATGTGAGAATTTTATAATTAGTGTGGTGTGATATGTATGAATGAGATAATTCAATTGTTGAAAATACACTGAAAGAAATGCAGAATTTAACTCTATTTCTAGGAAGACTGACATCTACTGATAAAAGTTACATTTGAAGAGAAGTAACAGTATTGACACACAACAATATCATAATTTCTTATGCCTAAGAAAAGCTACCATATGTTTCATTGATTGAAGACACTTATTCCAACAAATTTTAAAATATGCAGCCAAAATTTATGACTTTTTTGGGCGTCTATTGCTACCTGTGATAAATAGTTAATATTTATGGTAGAAAGAATTTTATGCAATAGAGATTTATATGTCCATATATTTTGTTTGGATAACAGAGTATCCAGGCCTTTGGCCATGTCCACATATTTTTAGCTATACAGTTATATTCTTAATATTCTTTTTTCCCTTTGGATACGTGTGCACTGGACAGTTTGGTTATATGTACAGGAGGAAGTAGTAAGAGGTGAGGATGATGAACAAGAGCAATTATTTAAGCGGCTTCAAACATATAGTTCTTTTGGTGAAGTTTCTTTTCTTTGCAATACTCCTCAGCCTTACACAGTTCGTGTTTGTGATTTATGTCGAGTTTTACGACTTGATAAACTATCATTCATGGAAATCCTTGAGATATACTTTCTGGATGGACGAATCATCTTGAACAACCTCCTTGAGGTGAATCAGATAAACAATATTTTTCTCCCCTCTTTTTTATGATCTTACAGATACTTGTAACCTTAATATATGTTTGGTGTTATTTACACATGCTTCTCACTGGTCATCATATCTATTGCATTGAGAAATTTTAAAGACATTCTTTTTCTAGTTAGGAATTATGGATAGAGTGAATTGCTCAGTTTCACTAAGTAAAACTTCCAATTTACAGGGAAAAGATTCCAATCTTCAAAACCAGATATTGGAGTCAGATATTACACTTTATATTGGGAAGCATGAATCTGAGCAAGCAACGAGGTTGAACTGTGCAGCTTATTATGGAGATTTTTGCAGATTGAAACACTTAATTGAAGCAGGAGCAGATCCTAACAAGACAGATTATGATGGAAGATCACCCTTGGTACAGTTTCTAGTTGGCTATGCTTGTCTTTAAATAACCACCA